AGCAGTAATACTTCTTTAAAAAGTCTTCAGTTGATCCAAAATGCTGCTGCCAGAGTCTTAACTGCTGCAGGTTTCTCCCTCATGAGGGAGTTTTTCAGATTCAGAGATTCTTTGTTGTCATTCGCACCTCATGTGGTACATGTGGTGGAAAGAAACTATGTACACAAGGTCCCAGTTACATCCAACAATAAGATCTAAGATATGAACTAAGAACTTTCCTTTCCACTGTCACCTTCGTGCTTGCTCAAGACGAGAGTCTGTGATGAATTTCAACTCAAAGCAGTCTGCTCCTCTGATTTGTTTTTCCCTTTCAGCTGCCCCCTTCTTCAGGGGTCGTCACAGCGAACTAAGTCACAAAGACTTGGCTATTTTTACACCAGATGCCCTTCATGATGCAACCACAGACACGAGCTACCACAGCCCTCTGTGTGGAGCAGAGAGCTGGACACTGGGGGGAGCAGATGGTGGGGGTTAAGGGCCTTGCTCAAGGGTCTTGTGTGGGACAAATGAGTTTGGAGGCAGGTGTGGCTTCTTCACCTATCTCACCCACATTTTGATGTTGTCGGTACCGGGAGTTGTACCGGTGATCTTCCAATCATTGGCCCGCCTTCTCTAACCTCTGCGCCACCACTCCCTAAATGCTGCTCCTCGGATAAATAACTTTGTTAACCTACTTTTCATATATATATAACTATTTCTGTTCAGTGCCCTGCGGTGACTTCTGTTGTGACTTGGCGCAATATAAATAAACTGAATTGAATTGAAAACTATTTTCTCTGGTTACTGGTTAATTTGTTAACTCTTGAGGTTTTCTACCATCTCTGCGGCGTCAGCCTCACCTGGTGAACGACCTCCACTGAAGCTTCTGGTTCAAGAGCTGCAGTTGTCTGTGGACTCTTTGCCTCTTGCCAAGATGTTCTGGAGCTTCCTCTTCTCCAAGTCTCCTGAGATCACAAGTTCACGTTGTGTTTATTTGTTATATGCAACGTTAACACAGGGTTCACAGTGAAATGCGTAGGATGAGAAGAACCGATTTGACTCGCTAAAAAAATAAAACAAACAAACAAGAAATACTAAAAGCATGAAGTAAGAGTACACAAAAAAAGTACCAAAAAGTGATAAAGTAATTATTGTTGGATGTAACTGGGACCCTGTGTACACAATTTCGTTTTACCACATGTGGTGCGAACGACAATAAAGAATATCTGAATCTGCATCTGTACAATTCAATTAAGGCACATTTTCAAAATGTTTACTCAAAATCAATTAGCTTTAAGGCTAACAAAGGAATCAAACATCAAAGAATATGTAGTTACCAGTATAATTTAATTCAAACCGAGCCAGTACCAAACAGTAAAACCAACACTGCCACTGGAGTGGTTTGTAAAAAGTAACAAAAACACCTTAAAATAGTTCAAATAAATTCAACCAAAGGTGTCCTTTAATTACTAAAGGTATGGCCTTTTATTCGGCTTATTTATTGAGTCACTTTATTTGTGTATTAAATAAATGCATGGTTGGGAAGATCATATTGACCAGGGTAAATGCTAGCCCAATCAGCCGTTAGCTCTATGGAGTCTTGCATTGTAAGTGCTGTGATTTTTGCTACAGCGTTAAAACAGCAACTAACGCGCCCAACAGTATTTTAAAACAAAAAGGCAACTTACCGTCGAGTAGATGATTGAATACTTTCAAATTTCTCCGACTGTAGATCTGGTCAAGTTGTAGAAACAACAGCAGAGTGCAGCCACACAGCCGTGACGCAGCTCCAGTCCGGTGTTCTGTCGGGTCAGAAGTCAGAACCATTGGACAGAACCATCACTCGTTCCGAATCTGAACCGACCAAGTAACCTCTGACTTAAAGCGTACCTGCAGGCTGCAGCCAGACTGGTTGTGAGTGTCACTGCAGCACGATATGTTCCAGGATAAAAAATTTAAATAAACTGAACCGGAAGTACACGATCGGTCGGTACTAATGGGTATAGCTTGCATTCGACGTGCCCCGGGCAGCGATATCTGCGCCCAGAATCATTCCTTTCTCTTGTAACGTCGTGGAATAACTGCACATGCGCCATTTTTAACGAGAGTATATGGATTAGATTCATGCGCCCCCAGGGGCCGGAAATACGTCGCCAATCAGACGTTTTTTGAAACAATCAACGTAGCTCATCATTACCTTTAAAATATTTATCCTACACAACTAAAAACATATATACATATATTTTGAAATATTTTTATTTTATTATTTCATTTTTATTAAAAAATTTTAAGTCTTCAGTGTAAAATGGTGAGTAGTTCCAGTCGGTGGGAGGCGACATAGCGCCCTCTACTGGCCGGCTGCCCCAGACAAACTCCACCCACCTCCCCTCCACCTTCTTGCTGAGAGGCAAAAGCTCTACTAACAGTGCCACCATGCTACACAGCGTCAGAAAGCTGTCAGTATAGTGTCATCAGCATAGATGCACACAAAGCAAGCTAAACTATCCCTCCAGATCAGTTTTTTATAAATGTAGATGACGTGATACATCCTCTCTGCTTTTCTGCTAACAATATGGCTAACAAGCTAATGTTAGTTGATTGTCAACAGGTTAATTAGCCTCCATAGCTAACCTACAGCAGTTTGGTGGATAGCTCACCTGCTAACGCTATATATCTTGTAGCTTGTTGCAAACATTTGAATCCTACATTTGTATAGTAATCTCAATGTTCTTGTCCTTTAAAAAAAGTTTGATATATATTGTAAAGCATGCTTTTCTGCCTTGCAAGCTTTAACTAAAGGTTGTACAGTAGTTCCTCATATATCGCGGGGGTTCTGTTCCCAACCCCCAACCCCCTGCAATAAGTGAAAAACCGTGAAGTAGGAATAGTAGTACAAGTAGTAGTAGTAGTAGTCAGCTGTAGTTTATTTAAATATTAAGGCATTTTAAACCCTTCACACACTCTTGCAATATTGAAAACAATGTTTCTGAACTCTAAACGTTCTAAAAGAGCACAGCATGTCATGATCGCTGCTCTCTGCCACCTGCCGCTCTCTGCCACCTGCCGCTCTCTGCCACC